TGTGATTCTTTTTTTTATTTTTACCTTTGGGGTTATTTACAAGTGTATATTTGATTTGGCAATATTTGTCTATTTTTCCTAGATATCTCTTCATTAATGTTTTCTAATTTCATAGTAACTAGTCTGTAATATTTCAATATTTTGAAAAATTTATTGAGTTTTTTAGTGGTCCATTTTCTTGAACATACTATGCATTTCAAAAGAATATGTAGTCTGCAGATGGATATGGTCTACAAATATCAATTATCATGTCAAGGTGTTTGATAATGTTCAGATTTTTTTAGGGAAGTTAAAATCTCCCACTATGAATATGATTGTAGGTTTGTCTACCCTTTAATTCTAACCATTTTGTCTTCATGTATTTTGAGGCTCTGTTATTGGGATCATAAACCTTTATGACTGTTGTCTTCTCAATGAACTGACCCTTTCATCATTATGAAATGTCTATTTCTGGTAATACTATTGGTAATACTATCTATTTTATCTGATATGAAGATGGCCATTCCAGTATGCTTATGTTTCCTGATTGCTTGGTAAATCTTTTCAAACCCTCTATTTCAAGCTGTCAGTGTCTTTATATGTATTTATAGTATATCTCTTATACACAGCTCTTATCCATCTGGACAATTTGATATTTAATTGGAGTGTTTAGCCCATTTATATTTAATGTAATTCCTGTTTTATTTAATTTGGATATACCATTTTATTATTTGTTTGCTGTTTGAACAGACTGTTTACTGTTTTACTATTTCTCCTTTCCTGCCTTTCTTTGTGTTAATAGGATAGTTTTAGAATTCCACTTTAATTCTTCTACTGATTTTTTAACTGTTCTTATTTGAATTTTTTTTTTTTTTGGGTGGTTGCTTAAGTGATGAAAATATACATTTTTAATTTTTCACAGTGCTAAGACTTAATGTACCACTTTATGTAACATGTAGGTATATTGTAATGAAATAGGTCATCCTATTTTTAATTTGAGTTAAGAAAGCTAAGTATACTACCAATGATACCTACCTATCACCTAATATCTAAATTTTAAAGGTGAAACCAAACTATATTTTCAGAATCAGCCAAACTTGGTTTTGGTATATATGCCTTTTTAAAATATTTCTGTGTTCCATTTCCTAATATTTTAAGAGTTCGTTTCTATATGAGTAAGAGAAATTGACCTGTTAATTTTAATGTACATATTGTAATATTCTTGTCAGATTTTCTTTTTTTAAGTATTTTATTTTACTCTATTATTTTTCTTTGTCATTTTTTAATTTTCAGTTACACTTTACATACACTATTATATTAGTTTCAGGTGTACACCCCAGTGATTAGACATTATATAATGTATAAGTAATCATTATGATAAACCTCACACTCATCTGACACCATACATAATTATTAGAATATTATTGACTATATTCCCTAGGCCAGTGGTCGGCAAACTGCGGCTCGCGAGCCACATGTGTCTCTTTTGCCCCTTGAGTGTGGCTCTTCCACAAAATACCATGTGCGGGTGCACACCTACAGTGCGATTGAAACTTTGTGGCCACACTCAAGGGGCCAAAGAGCCGCATGTGGCTCGCGATCCGCAGTTTGCCGACCACTGCCCTATCAGCACTTGTTTCTAGGATCTCAATGTACATGTTCTCATTGTGAATCGCAAATGAACAATGTAGCTTCCTCCCTCCCCCGTCCCATCTCTTCCTCCTGAAACTCTGACACCCCAGGTTCGCGATGGAATCCTCTTCAGATCCAAGCTGATAAGCAGGCCAGAGTGTCCTTCTGCCCGGGTGCACACTAGAATCTCCGAGAAGATTGTGAGGAACACGAATGTTCCAGCTCCAGGGATTCTCAGTTAATTGCCCCGGGTGGGATTCAGTACACGGTATTTTTAAACGTTTCCCAGGCAATTTGAAGTATGACCAATGTTAAAAAAAACTTTTGAGTGACATAGTGTGGGCTGGGGAAATCTGAATTTTGAATTTAGTTTAAGATTCATTTTCATGTAGTATATTTACCCCAACAATCAAATTTACCCAAAATGCATCCTCTCACTGCCTCTAACATCAGACGTCGATCGTTCATAGACCTCCAGCTAATAGAAAATATACATGGAGAAAAGAACTCTTTGTA